CTTTCTTCATCATGGCTGGATTCCAGGAGAGTAAAAAGGAAAACTGCAAAGTCTCTTATGGCCTAGACCTGGAAGTCACAAAGCAACACTCCTGTCACATTTTACAGTCAAAGCAACTGACAGGACATGTCCAGATTCAAGGGGAGGAGTAGACTGTACATTTTTTTGGAAGGTTAATGGCACATGTGTTCAGGGATGGGAAGAATCTTTGGTAAAAGCTTTACAAGCAATCTACACAAATGGTAAGTAGATAACAGAACAGCTTTTAGCAGATATGGAAAAAATTGTGAGGGTGTTATTCAAATGACTGACGTTTGGAAGATTTTGTATTAACCTAACCCATCAAAGTACTGCACTAGACAGTCAGTTGTCATTTTTTAGTACCTTGTACATACTGAACACAGTGCTATAAAAAAAGAGTTTAAAAAAAAGATAACACATGATACAAACTTGTCCTAGAACTTCTGTTCTAGTGTAGAAGACAGGTATGTAAATAGTTATAATACAATAAATGTGGCACATGTTATAGTAAAGGGTTTAAAATATAGAGTACTGACATTTTATGTAAAAGTTTGAGTACATATGGGTTTTCTTGGACCCATAATTTTTAGCAGATCTCAAAGAAGTGTGAAGCCCTAAAAAGACCTAACAAGTACTGAAAAGATCTAAAGCACTGAAGAGACACAGTGGAGTGAAGCTTGGAGATCAAAGCTACTAATTGTAGTGGTAAGGAAAAGGTTTTATGGAAGTAATAGCATTTATTTATTTATTTTTTTTATCTTTTTTCCGTGTCCGGCAATGGATCGCAACCCTCAGTGTCGCCCCCGTACCGGACCGGGACCGGCAACGGGATCGCAACCCTCGGCGCTCCCCCCGCGCCTCGCTCAGCCAGTGAGCGGGAACCGGTCTGTATGTGGGATCCGAACCCTCGGCGGGAGCGCCTCCGCACTTCCCAAGCGGCACACTAGCGCAGTGCGCCACCGGGCCGGCCCGGAAGTAATAGCATTTATTTATTTATTTTTTTTATCTTTTTTCCGTGTCCGGCAATGGATCGCAACCCTCAGTGTCGCCCCCGTACCGGACCGGGACCGGCAACGGGATCGCAACCCTCGGCGCTCCCCCCGCGCCTCGCTCAGCCAGTGAGCGGGAACCGGTCTGTATGTGGGATCCGAACCCTCGGCGGGAGCGCCTCCGCACTTCCCAAGCGGCACACTAGCGCAGTGCGCCACCGGGCCGGCCCGGAAGTAATAGCATTTAGATGGGAAGGAGGGATGATTGAGGAGGCAGGACTGGGTGTGTTGGAAGCCAGTTAGATGTGGGAGGTGAGGTAGGTAGAGGGGAAGGAAGAGGAGAGTGGCAAAGGAGGATAGGAATGTGGGGAATTGGAGGAAAGGGAAGAGGAGAGAAGCTAGTTCAAGGATGACTGGAGTTTTTAGCTGAGGAGAATGGTAGATGGTAGAAAATATAGGAGGAAAAGTGGGTTTTCTGAGAACATCTTCCTAGAATTCAGTTTGGTTCAAGTGATAATGGAGGGGCCCATGTGATAAACCAATAAATAATTGGCAATGCAGGTCTAGAACTTGTCTACCTTGTGCCAGGCACCTTAGTAGGAATTGGATATAAAGCAGTGAACATCCTAAGAGAGCTTATGTTCTAGTGTGGTTGGCAGGGGTAGGGGTGGGAGGTGGGGGAAGGAGACAATTAGTCTGCAAAAATGTTAATACAAATTTTATATAATGTTAAATACCAAGAATAAAATAAATCTGATTAATGGAATAGGGAGGGTTGGATCAGCTACTTTATCTAGGGTAGTATGGAAATTGAAGGCAGCTTTCTGAAATATAACTCAAATCTGGGAAGGAGACTGACCCTCTTTCAGCTTAATATGGTAGGAAAACTATACTAGTGAGAGACTAACCTTTACAATATTAGGTGGTCTCCCCGCAGACCAGATCATTGTGAGGAACTCTTCCCCTACCAACTATAACCACAGACGTCTGAGTCTTCCCTGTCTAGCAGCAGAACCGTGTAGAGCAGATAATGAGCATAAGTGAAAATCCATTCTGGTGACCAGGACACCAGAGGAGTGGAAACTTCAGGGAGAGAGGAACTATGAGAGAGGGGAAGAGAATGTATGGAAGAGAGTGGCAGGGATCAGTTACTCTCTGACCACTGATGGGATAGACAGATGAGGCTCCCATAAGTCTGGGATAGACAGTACCTAGAAATGAGTTAACTAGTCTAGGGATGCCACTCTCAATACCTCACCACATTTTGGATGTTGTACAGGATGGATTACATCACTGTAGGAGATGGACTATACCACTTGAACTTGACTGAAGAACTGCTTGTACCATCTCCTGGGTTTTGGGTGTGCCTATTGGAGGTAGTGCTAGGACACAATCTTCCCTCACCACCTGCCTGCACATGTCTGGACCCTTCCACTGGGGAACATAGGGGGCGAAGAGAGTTGCCTCTGGACCAGTCTACCTCCAGGGAGACTGCCTTCTGACCATTCTACTCCATCCCTACCAAGTTAAGGGTATATTCAGTTTTTAAGGAAATTGTATATTATAATATTATTCTGATTTTTTACTTACTTATTTCTGAATATATCTCTTCCCTCCATGAAAAATGTGTACAATGTTAAGTATATCAGTCTATTTCAGTGATTCTGACCACATCTACTTGGCTGGTGCCAGGATGTCTCTCTCGATTTAAGGTGAACAAGGATAAATTAGTTCATGATATGTGTTGAAATTATAGGATCCCATAAAATAAAACCTACAATGATTAGAACTTATCATTTTAGAACTTGTAAAGATGTCAAATATTGAGTGGGCAGAAAAAGAATTTAAATGATTGGGTTTATCATCTTTTTTTTTTTTTAAATCTAAGGTAAAATATCATTTCAGAACCACAGTGTCTGAGTGTAACTAGGTTCTGTGGGCAGAAGAAGTGAGCAGCATGCCACTCTACTTGCCACAGCACTTAACCTCTGTCTGAGAGAAGAGGTTTGGTTTCAGGAATTATATTAGACCACTATTTTTCTGCTGTTTACTGTTTTCACCCCGATTCAATCTATAAACTGGAGTGTTATTTAAAATATAAATGTTATCAGAGAAGAATTAACTCATCAAACACAAGCACTATTTAGGACTCTAAGATGCTAAAAAGTGCACATTAAAGAAAAGTTGGAGAAAACTCAAGGTTGGTTATATGGTGCCACTGTTTTCCTTTATCCCATTGTTTGTGACCTTGACTATTTCAATCATGATGTAAATCCACAGAATCAAGTCACTAACATGTTTGTAATTCTTAGTCACATTTGGTAGTTATTGACACTATAGAGGTGGCAATGTCACTGTCCACATACAGTACCTTCTGTCAAGAGAAGATGAAACTTTCCAGTAAAGTCTCAGAGCACTGGCTGTAGGCTTTAAGTTCGTCCCCTAGCACAGGCTCTTACAGTAGCGATCTGAACTATTCACCCCAAACTTAGTATAAGGGAGAAAAAGATAACAATGCTGGGATCTCTTGTGTTGGTGACAGAGAGTACTACTGCTACTACTAATAGTAATAATAACGCAAATAATGGTTAGCAATCACTGGTATTGACTATGTTCCAGGGACTATTCTAAGCACCTTCCATACATTAACCAATTTAATTCTCACAATGGTAATCTATTTCATTACTGCCCTCCTTTGACAGATGAGGAAACTGAGGCCCAGAGGGGTCACATATGTAAATGGAGAAAGTGGGATAGAAGCTGGTACTGACAGGTAAATGATACTGACAGTAAAAGTGAGGAAGATAGCATTTTTCCATAAGATGAGAAAAATCACTTGGGAAAAGCTGCTTCATCTTGGAAGCCACTGTTAATTGTGGGGAGGACCCATGTCAACCTCCCAGCCCCAGGCCTTGCAGCTGCCCAGGCTGGGCCTCACCACTGGGAGGAGGGGTCCATGGCCAGGATAGAGGCTGTTTATGGGGGGCTGTTTCTGAGAATCTTCTCATCTACAGCCACGCATCCCAGAGTTCTGAGCTGAAAGATGGCTAGGGACAGAGAGGGCCTTGAAGCAGCACATAGCCTGAATGTTGGAATACAGGGACACTTTTTTTTTTTGGTCCTGGGAAAGGAGACATTTTTATTTTGGTGGGGAGGCGGTTGATTGTGCAGGCATCTGGAGTCCCTGTTTATCTGTACCTCCTGTCCCTGACAGACAGGAATCACAAGGACAAAAGTTAGGATAAAGGGGTAGAGATACCACCAAGTTTTATGAAGAAACGTGAACAGGAAGGAGACCTACAGGCAGGATTTATTTATAGCTCTGTGGGGACTGTATGGATCTGTGTTTATGGGTAGGGAACACGTGGGGTGGGAGGGATTCATTATTTTAGTTGATGCTATTGGGAGAAGTCAGAAACTTCAAAATATCTTATTTCCTCTCAGAAATTCATGCTGGCGTCTCTTCATGAGTGCTACTCTCCTGGGTGTCCCTTGGTGCCCCACATTTTAGACATGGGATTATGACTATCACCTGGACACTTGGGGGTGAAGTCATGGTCCACTCAGGCATGTAGGAGAGAAGGCACCTCCCACTGCTGCTGTGTCTTATCCCAGCCCTCTCATTACTGTGCCCAGAAAATCATTCCCTTTGCCACCTCCTAATTATGCCTCTGGGTATTTTTATGGTAAGGGTGACATTTTTCTCTTGACAGGCACTATTATAGTATAGAATTGTCCTTGTCACTCTTTATTGCTTTTAATAACTACAAAATCTCTTACAAGATGTGTATAACTTCATAAACATATGTTTATGGCATTTTTTATCCATCCTGAAATGGTCAAGGTCACAGACAATGTGACAGAAGACGAAAGACAGTGAACACACTATTATAAATAGAAGTGTAGCTTGAAAATGACCCTTTCAGATGTGGCACTATTAGTTAGTAATAAGGAAGGAAGAGATGAAGTTCAATAATAATTTTATTTTATTTAGGAAAGTTTCCAGGTGTATGCCAGATATTGCTATTGTGTTTGATTGGCATCTTAGCATGTCAGAGATTTAAGCATTTATCAGTTATTTTATTACAATGAAAAGTGAACTAAATGATAAGAATAGAGCAAAAGTACAGCTTATTCAAAACTGTAATACATAATTGTAACTTAGGAAATCTAAGTGAAATATGTAAGAACAGTGGACCTTACATTTTGTCATTCTAAACTTTTAAATACATAAGCATGGGGGACTGCATTTTAGGTAGTACTGAATTCTGTTTCCTTGCCTCTTGATCTCTCATTCATCTTCAGAAGGTTTATTTTAACAATAAAACATCTGAAAGGTATATTGCTATTATTATTTGGGGATCAAAAATGTCCCCAAGGCATTGGTTTAGACTTGCTAGTATATAAGTTGATGATTTCTGCATGAGACCTCAGAACTCCCAGCATCTGCAGAGAGAGAAAAGCAACAAAAGCAGTGTCACTCTCACAGCAGTGAGAAGTGTGTCACTATTTTTCTTCCTTTATTCAGGTCAAGAGTTTCAGTGTAAGTATGGAGCTGAGATGGTAAATCTGACTATCTGATCTTCCAGGCCCAGAACAACTGATCGTGGTTATTGGGAGAGGAATTGCAGGAGGTAGGATCAATTGTCTAATTAGGGGTAATTATGCAACAGGTCATATATCAGTTTGGGGGAATTATATGTATTTTATCCAGAGCAACTAGAGTAGACCTACTACTACATAGGCAAATATAAATTTCCCGGTTGATTTCAACTGGTCAAGCTCTTTCTTTCCTGAGCACTGCTTTGAAAGAAATGATTTTCCATTTTCTCTTTTCATAAACCTTTCCTCTTTCACTCTCCTCTGATGCTTTCCTGGACTAATAAAATGTAAGAAGGAGAATAGGAAAAACAGGGAATCCTTGGTCTTAAAAAGAGTAAGCAATTTCCTAAAGGCAGGCAACAGAGTGTTAGCCTTAGGTTCTTTCACTCTATAAAGAAAGATGTCCTCAGACTTACTTTTGCCATTTGTGATCCTTTTAGTAATACCTTTATTTAAATAATTCTATTTCTACCAATTATCATGATTTTAATAAACAGGCTGCATTAGGTCTCCTAAACTTTACTGTAAACAGAATAACTTAATTTCATAGAGTTCTGTAGAATTTAAGTGTCGGTTAGATGAGGACCATGTGTTTCCTTTCTAGAGATATATCCAGAGAAAAGAAGGTACATGAAAAGAGAGAAGGAAAAATAATGAGCAGTGAGTAAAGTCAAGAGGAAACATTTTTTAAAAAGTGAAGCATTTATTGCAATGGATAGATTTCATTTTCGTTTTGATGGAGAGTACGTGAAGTGCTTCTTATTCCCAGTGATAAATACACCTTGGTTGGCTCTTTCTACACACACAGTGATAGTCTGCTCTGTCCCCTGCCAGCATTTCAGTGTTGATTCCATTCCCGGATAGTGGGGATGATGGGCATGCAGCATTCCACTCCTGTTCCCAGTGTGTTCCATCTGTGGCACTTTCTGTCATTTAGTTTCCAATTTGGTTAAAATTGTTTTATTTACTCTGAAGTAAGATGGGCCCATGTTGCCAGTGACAGGCTTTTCAGCTCTGTCATCAGAGAGTGTTGTCAGTGTAGTACGAGAAAATAAAAAGCCAGCTGTTAGAGGCTGGATAAAGCCAGCAGCGTGCACAGGTGGCAGTGCAAAAATCCTAACTTTATTCACTTCAGATGTGCTTTGTATTTCCAGACTCTTGCTAATGTGGCGCGAAGCTACTAGAAAGAAGGCTCTTTTTATACATACTCATGGGACAGGCAACCCTAGAATTTCATTTTAGTGGTTCGGTTTCAGCATCTTTTCTTCTTCTCATACAATCTGTTACCCTATTGGCTGAAAAATAACACAATAGGTACTAAAGATCAGTAAACTGGTCCAGAGTTTTAGTTCAGCTCACGTTCATTGCCTCTCCTTATTGTGTTTTGACATCGGGGTTATAAAAGTGATAAAAGCATAGTTCCTGACCTCACCAAGCTCATAGTTTAGCCAAGAGCGACAAAGACAAAAGAAGTGTCAGCTCAAGTTGAGACATTGTTTATGCTTCATACTATTTTTGGAGGAAATGAATCAAGTGCTAGATTTCCTGAACAGTACTAACAATTCATCTTGGCAAAAAAGAGGGTGATGGAAAGCCATAAGAGGGAGAGGGGGAAATTTGGTGGTGGATATGATGTTACAATTATAGGAGAGTGAAGGGAATTTCTTCCCTTTGACTTTTTATATAGAAAATTTCAGACTTACTGATGGAAAGCCATAAGAGGGAGAGGGGGAAATTTGGTGGTGGATATGATGTTACAGTTATAGGAGAGTGAAGGGAATTTCTTCCCTTTGACTTTTTATATAGAAAATTTCAGACTTACAGAAAAGTTAGAAAAATAGTACAACGGACATACACATATGCTTTATGTAGCTTCACCAATTATTAATGTTTTGTCACATCCTTTTTCCCTATCTGTGTGTGTAGTTGAGCCATGAAAGTGAATTGCAGACATCCTGACATTTCACCCCTTAGTTGTTCAACGGGCATGATCACACCCATAAAATAAATAATGATTCCATAATATTATATAATGTAAAATATGAATTCAGATTTCCCAGATTGTCCCAAAGATGTCTTTTATAGATTTTTTTTTCCTCCCCAATTCATGATTCTATCAAGGTGTACACATTTTATTTAGTTGTGTCTTGGTCTCTTTGGATTTATATTTTTGTTTTGCCTTGTTTCATGACATTGAATTTTTGAGGAGTTTAGGCTAGTTATATTAAAGAATGTCCCATATGTTGGATTCATCTGATTATATCTTCATGAATTGAGTCAAGTTAAACATTTTTGGCAAGAATGCCACGGGTAGATGTTGTCATAGTTCAATAGCTTTAAGTCTAGGGTTTATGGACTTCATGGATTTTAGTTTTTACCAAATTTTCAACAATTCTATGAGCCCTCAAAGGTTAAGAATTGAGGTAGAGATGAAGTAAGTTGTTATTAGCAGGAGGTAAATAGTATTCAGTCGACATTTGTATCTTAAATCTTCTTAAACCATTATATTTTATGTATACTTTTACACATGGTATTTTCACTTGTAGGTTTTTTTAAAAAAGTAATGCATATACGTGAAAACAATTCAAATACAAAAATAAAACAGACTGAAAAGTGTCCTTCTGATTCCAGTTCTCCAGGTCTCCTGTCCTTCTCGGCAAAAGTAACTTGTATTCCTAGTTTCTTGAGTATCCCTCCAGATAGTCTACGTATATGTAAGGATCTACATGGGCATGTGTACTTTATTTTACACAAATGGGAGAATTTTACAGTGCAGGTATATCATAAGTGAATTTAAATTACATTAAATCAACTGCATGTACTTGACAAAACAAAAATAGTAAAAAAAACCCAAACAAACCAAACCAAAGCAGGAGANCATGGTGCCATTTCACTCAATGACTCAGCAGACGGACACATCAGCCCAGGGAGAGGGTGGCTTTTAAAATTTTTTTTAATTTTCATTTTATTATGGTAATAACATTTAACATAAGATCTACCCTCTTAATAAATTTTTAAGTATACAATACAGTATTGTTAGCTGTAGGCACAATGTTGCACAGCAGATATCTAGAACTTATTCATCTTGTACTGCATAAGTGAAGCTTTATACCTGTTGATTAGCAACTCCCCATTTCCCCCCTCCCTCCAGCCCCTGGCAACCAACCTTCTGCTTTCTGTTGCTATGAGTTTGACTACTTTAGATACTTTGTATAAGTGGGATCATACAGTATTTGGCTTTCTGTGTCTGGCTTATTTCACTTAGCATAATGTCGCATCCATGTTGTAGCAAATGGCAGGATTTCCTTCTTTTTTAAGGCTGAATGGAAGCTAGCTTTTAAAGAATATATGTATCACAAACGTGGTGCCTGTGGAAGCCAGCTTCATCTGATGTACAAGTGAAGGACTTGCAATGCCTTTCAATGCCAAAGAAGACACCAGCTTTGTGCAACAGTTACCTGGAGAAGGTTTGTGAGCCTTCAAACGGCATTGCCC